TTTCCCGTCACGAACGATCGCTGGGGAAACGATTCTGCCGATTAAATTAGTGGAAATTTCGCGAGATCTGGACGCGAAGCCGCGCGAGCTTCCTAATTCCAAGCGTTATCTGCTTGTCAGTAGGAATATATACCGCGAGTGTCGATCACCGATTTTTGATGAAATTTGACATAAACGTAGTTTTCGAGAAAATCGTTTCACACGTGTTTTCTTTCTTTTTCAATCGGCGTTGAAAGGGTGAAAACTAGCCTCAAGCAACATATTTTGCCAAATATCTCGGAAATTACTGAAGAATACAGGCAATTTTTTGCGTAAATCGATGAAATTCGTGTTTTCTAACGACGAATTTAATGAAAACCATTTGCTTAAACCATACATTAAAACAAGCGTATTTTTTTATCATTTTCTGATTATCTTTTCCAAGTAAATGTTGATACATTCTCTTGAACATTCGTTTACGAAAACTATACGCTCAAACACAAATATTATGGACAAATTGGAATCTTGATTTTTGCATTACAAAAATATTCATTCTTTCTTGCAAAGCAGAGTAAACGTGCGAATAACTATCGATACGTTCCCTCGTAATAATTTCAGTAATTTTTATCGTATACTTGTGAATGATTTAAAGAAACTGGAGTGTTCTAAAAATATCGCGCGGTTCTTGCAGACTGTAGAAGCCAGTGGCAAATATTTTTGCGTCTCTCGTTTTTCAACTATTATGTTATATTAAATATTCATTCCTCTTCAGTGAAACAATACACCAGTGTTCGTGTTCGACAGTCAAAAACCTAAACCCAATCGAATTTCTCGTCACTGAACTTACTGTACACGTGAATTCAGAATTGGGAAGCATGCTTGGTTCTGATCTGCAGATTTATGTACTTGACTGGTCGCACAGTCTCGCCTCGACAGGTGCAAATAATCTTTCCCCTCCTGTTCGCGTGGTTCGCTCATTTCGCGACGTCGGCTCGCGTCTGAAGGGTTGAACTGCCCGCGGAGGGGTGGGTGGGGGGGGGGGCTGCGTTCAACGTCGACACGGAGGACAATCCACGCTGGTTTTCAACGGCGCCGTTACAATCGTCGCCTCGGGAACGCGAGCTTTCTTTCATGCGAATTTCACAAATGAGAATTTCTCGCGCCACCGTACGCACGTACGAATGGGTGCGGGGGAGGCTCGGCTCGCCGTGCGAGACCGCATAGACTCGCTGCGCGAAGAAAGGGCAACGCGGAGGGAAAAGGGGAGAAGGGAGGAGAGAGAGAGAGAGAAAAGTACCACTTTAAGCAGCGGCTATGAACGCCTTTCAAAGACGCTGTGTGTGCATCCTCTGCTGGCAGCGGTGCTTTCTGCAGGAGGGATCGTGTACGTACAAGCGTACGTCCAGCCGTCGTGAAAAGCTCATAAAAATATTAAACAGACGGAGACGACGGGGGTGACGATAAAAAGAAAAGGAAAAACGAGGAAAAGAAAGAGGCAGAGAAGAGGTATATCAGAGAGAGGGTTGTAGCAAGAGAAAGAAAGAAAGAAAGAAAGAGAGAGAGAGAGAGAGAGAG